CCCTCCCCCCCCAGGATCAAGAGAGAGTCCGCTGATGATCACCAAGCGGTATATTGTCTCGTACGTACACAGCAGTTAGTTGTTTTCTAGCTACTCCAATTTATATTTTCGGTTTCCTTCGCACTCCCCGCCCCAGAATCGACACAGGCTCGTTTTTCACCGGGCATGCAATGATGATAAACCGGTATGTTTGTCTCAGGTGCGTCCCCAACATGTGGGGGCGTGTCCTAAATCCCTTGCACGTAGAACAGGGAACGGTGAACTTAGAAGTCGGTGTTCCGTCTTTTACCCTCCCAAGGCGTGTGTGCTAGCCCTGGTAGACAATACAAGAGCAGGGGACAAAGAAGTCGGATTCCCTGTTCCCTGAACCATTTAGGCCGAGTACAATAGCACTACGAAAACCCTCTAACAGAGACCCTAATCTATGCGGTTGTGTCCTAGGCCATGCCGCACACAACGGCAGCATTCGAACGTCAGCGCGCACGTGCGGTCCGCAGGCGCTCGGAGGCAAAGAACACAACCAAAAGTGGCAGAAATAGGAGGTGGATTTACTTTTATTCAGGAAATGGAGTGTAGGCTTGGGTGCAACCTGTTGGCAACAGAGAGCGCACATCGTCTTATACGTGCTAAATAGGAGGCATAAAGGGCAGGCGGCCCTCGTCGTGCAATCGAGAGTGCTCTGGAAGAGTTGATTATTTTGGTTGGGGGTGAACGGCAGGTTGACGTCTTCTTTGGCACTCTTTTCTGCCCCAGTACGACGGCTACACCGAGCTCATGCGCTGCCCATTGTTGTCATGCCGTACAACAGAAGGTGGTGGCGTCACCTATATCACTTGACCCGACATGATCACACACATCCCACCACGTCCTGGATCACTTGAAATCTGTGACAAAAGTGGTAACGTCTTGCAGCTGAAATCATTTCAAACATGTGCGAAAGTCGGAGATCACAAGTCACGGCACGTCACGCTTCACAGCTTTTTGTGTGTGTAACGGTTGCACCTGATGCTCTCACTTGTTGAGTGTGTTTTCCGTCTCGCCCCTGCCACGAACCCCGTGTTCCACATGGGTGTGTTGGAAGGTTTTTATGAACGAGTTCGGTTGTCACGGCGGCGGGATCGTCCAAAATGAGGATAAACCTTGGGGGGCGCGTTCGTTTCCAGGATCGTCAGTGTGTTTGGTCGGCCCGTCAGGGAAACGTTCTGACTTCCCTCTTCCCTGTTGTGTTCGGGGGCGGGGGGG